ATAAATTTTGTTATCGTCAAACATTGCCTACATAAAACGATTATGGGCTGCTCACTCGACGGTATACGTATTAAGTTAGGCTGAACTTTCGCATCTGTTTGTTGTCATATACTTTACCCAATCTTATGATGTTGCAATTTTGTAACCCCTCACTACGCGTGTACTTCTCGATTACGAATCTTGAAGCTTCACGTCTGCTGCTGGTCTCGTGCCACCAAACTGCGTATTTTGCAGATACAAGCTATGCGGGGTGTAGTTTAGCTGCATGCGCTGTCCAGGATGAAAAATTCACCTAATGATTCCCCAAGCAGTGCTGTCAGTTAGACTCAGGTGTCTCTAGTGTCTAGTTACCTCCACTTCAGAACTAGGACTGTGACTGCTGTGTTCGCTTATTTGCCGTCTTGAACACCATCCTTCCAAGGCCTCCAGTTGCTTGGTTGTATTTCATCATCACTCACTTATTCCAACCTGCTTAGCCTGAATTATCGCTGGATTTGATGTTCTCAACCATGCTTCACTCATCGTTTTTTTATGTCTAACATAGCAATGCAGTACAATCGTCGGAGAAATATCGGTTCCTTTCCCCTTTGCTTCCCCCGTGGAAGAGTCACCGATAAGATGTGTGTCGGATTCTGGATTCGTGAATTTTCAACTGCATCTGAGCATTCTTCAGCGGATTTGCGAGAATTGGATAGAGGTCTAGTGACTCGGTGGTTTTCTAATCTTCTTTAAGAACAACCTAACACGATGAGTTATTACGGAGACATATTCCTATGTAACAAGAACAATGACGATCATTGTAAATTTAAAAAAAACTGAATTCTCGTGCTTCTCCTCAATTTATCGTCCAAACGGCATTGCAGCCGTGAAATGTTCCAACGAATAGGGTCATCCTTGGGATCAAGGTTGAGTTGTGGGAAAAACCAAGCCGATTCCAGTCAACATGAGTTCACTAGCTGGGCGATTTATTGAAACACGCAGCGAATTGCAAGTTAACTAGTAAACATGGGTCAAGGATGCGATGTGGTGTCTCCCTGTGGAGAGCAAATCAGAACCAGGGGATGTCTCTGCTCTGATTGTAAAGGACGTTTTCTCCTTTAGGTAATGCACTGGAAGACATTCCGTGCCTCTACAGTTGCACCATAATGAAGATCTTCCATCGCGAGGGAGTAGTGTACCCCATATTGATTACTAATCCACAAGAACGAAGACCACCTCCGCGTACGAGTATATTTAACTGCACTTTACGGAATGATGACGTTAGGCTCATGCATGTACCTTTCTTCGGTGGCTGACCACACATACTTTGGTGGGCACTTTAGTAAGTATAGTGGTGATTCGCTACTCCTGACGCGGAGAATTTAACTGGATCGGTCTGCATGCTTAACTGTGACCAGTTTGCAGATAAGTCTGAATGTGAAACACCTTCATCACCTTGTATCCTCCTAAGCGAATGCTCATGGTAGTCCACTGAAACCAGCAACTCAAAAAACTGGTTGGTGCGTATACTGAAGATACCACCCTGTTTATCACCAGGAATATATACTCCGTATGAATCTGTGTATGACCTTGCAAGGCAACCACAAATTACATTCTATCCGTGTAAATGTCCGACGCAAATGGCTGGCTCATCCTTTTGAGGGTGAAACAATATCGGATTGCGTGTACCTTTTTGGTGGATAATTTATTGGCTTTCGTTGTCTGAGTTTGTTCGATGACTGTCTTCGTATACCCTTGTTACAGCCGGCTACTCAAAGGTAACTGTTAACGTGGTTGCCTTATACCCCTCCACCAGTCCCACAAGCTATTGTTCATATACGTGTTTCACACACTAACAATTTGTTAAGCGAGCTCTGTGCATCAAAACACAGTTCTGGTACTCATCCTAGGTCACATCAAATGCTTAATGCTCCTTATCCGTCTACGGGGAGCCGTGGTGTTTGACGCGCAGCTGCGTCTCACCCCTCGAACATTTTGTCCATGCTCGGGAGTTTGTAATCTACAGAGTCTACAAATCCACCCCTTCTCGCTGCAGGAGTTAGGGGAGGGTAAAAGACAGATACCACAAGATTGGCCCGTTTCATAACCGCGTTTTTGGGAGGAGGTTGACAATACGCAAAAGATTATCCAAATCTAACATTCACTCTCAAACCAAACTCATTATTTGAGTTGTAACGCTTATTACTTTTTCCGATTCCCACAGTTTTCCCCGAAGATCAGCACCCTTCCAAACTGCTGTACTGTTATGGCCAACTTGCCGGTTCAGTACCACCAAACGTCCCTGGTGTGTCTCATCAAATACCATCGGGACACCGTATAAAGCGAATGCGAAAATTTGTAACAACAACCTCCCAAGATGACCGAAAAGCCTCACCTGCCAGTGTTACATCAAAGCCATCTGCGGGAGATAGTCCAGAACATGTGAGAATACCGGTTTCGTCGTGCGCCCCTTCGGCTCATGGAACTCAAGTTTGTTTGGGCCTTCTGCGTGGTTTAATCTATTGGCGGTTGCTGAATCAACCCTCGTCCCAAAGTGTGGACGCGATCGATCAGTTCGGTAATCCAGTTACTTCAACCCCTGGTCTTGGACTGTCAGACGATGATGTGGCTCTCTTGGTACGTTTCGGATGTCGTAAATTTTTTTCTCGTTGCTTTTGTGCTGTGACTTTCTTCCTGTGAAACCAGCTACGATGATCCGCTATCGCATCAAGTAATATTATTCAAGAGTACTGGGCGCAGATGTTCGCCCAACCGTGTTGGATGCAAAGTGATCAAGCGTCCTTGATTCACCTGCGATTACCACGTCTTCGCCTGCTTGATCGTGTACGTGTGCAGCGCCAAGTCAAGAAGACCCTTTTGACAGGGGGGCATTTTCATGAAGAGTATATAGCAACCTTCCTTGCGGTCCACGACCCACTCTGCTATCCGGTACAGACTTCAGGCCTCTTCGTAGAAGACAAGCGCTAAGGTATTCGAATGATGTTTAATGGCACAGCATCAATGTATCACAGAACATCGGGGGGGGGGGCATTTTCACGGAGGTACCACCGACCATATAGGATTATGTAAGTGAACACAAGCTTGAGACGTTGGAGAACAGCTTAGAGCGAACTGCTTTTCATCCTCATTCGACATGTTAATGTCATGCCTTGTTGGGACTTTATTCAGTCTCTAGCAATAGCGTCCCTCTAGATAAACTGCTTGACATTATACGGTAACAATATGAGTAGGTTCGACAAAAAGCCTTACATTCACGGTTTATTTACTTATTACCTGCTTTTCTAATAAGGTGGCTAGTCAGAGCACACAAAACCAGTTAAGTTCGATGATACAGAATTCCACCTAGTAACGCCAGCAACGAGGCGCATACTTTTGAGACATTCCGTGGTACACGTTACTAACCAGTGGCGGACCGCCGTGACAGCAATGTTTGGTTATGAGACGCCTCAAGGTGCATTCATAATTGCACCGAATCGTTGTAAGACAGAGCTGTCCGACGCTGTCGCAACATCGTGGTTCGCGGAGCCAATGCGCGGTGCGCACGAAAATGTCATCATGACCTTTTGGTCACTCTTTGAGTGGGCGGGCAGATTCAGTGCTGTGCAGTATTCCAGCGATGTAACCATCTGCACCCCCTGTCCTTAGTCATCATCATCGTCGTCAGCTGCAAAAACCGCGTGGTTGTAGCTGCCGCAGTTTCGTCCACCGGTGATTCGGGGTGGTGGGGTAGGTAGCTGCGCATTGAAGACGGGAGCTGATAAATTGGTGCGTACATACAGCACTCCCAGTGGACTGTGCAGTGGGGGGGATTGGGAAGGGAGCTATGCATTGAAGGTAATAGCCTGGATGCACGAGCACCATTGAGGGCGTGATGATACTTATTATCATACTACGAGGATGCCGACTCGCTTAAGTACTTTCCGATAACAACCTCTTCTTTGTGTTTTCTTCGCCTCATAGGTTATCCAACCACTAACCGACGCTTGCCTGCACACAGACGACATACGAATCCTGTCTTGGATCTGCCACGTATTGGTTTTGGTTCTGGGTCGACGACCTGAACTGCATCAGTGGACAGTGTACGCGAACTCGTTCATTCGCGAGGTCGATGTTCGTGTAACCTCGCTCATCAAGGCGGTTCAAGCTGCTTCCAACTGCGTGAGTATTCCTATCAATTTTTGCTTAGGATGCGTTAAGCGCGAATCGTTGCTTTGAGGTCTTCGAGGTCTATCCGATAGGCAGACCTCACTGTCTCTCGTTTTCATCTCTAGTGCGTGTTAACATGCTTAGTAAAGACAGAAGACCCAACATGCTGTTGTCGATAGGAGTCTTCGTTTCCGACAATTTTAAGAAAGATAGGATTTTGCAAGGAAATCACGGAAAATGAAACTTTACGCCGACTGTTGAATGTTTTAGAAAAAGGGTACCACATATTCTGTCTTTTCATACCGTCTTCGACTACCCTGTATTCCTCTTCTATGTACGAAAAAACGAAACTCATTAATTACTTTCTCCAGTCAAGTTAAATTGACCTCATTGATTGGTATTCACCAGCTACCCCTGAAGAATGCATGTTTTGTACTTTGGAAACAGCCTGATCACATACTGACAAAGTCCCTTTGCCAGCCTACAACTCCAGTCTCTTGTTTATTTGTACTGGCTCGGGTTTCCATGCGTTTTCGAATGTGTGACAGTGGTGCTGCTCGATTCAGTTGTTCGCCTGGTTCTCCGCATAGATTACTTTCTCGCCCTGTCCGGATCGTAAGAGGTCACAGTGATAAATATCTCTTTGTGTTCTACATGCTAATCTGAACCGTTTATCAAGGTAATTGAGAACTGGAAGTTGACAATGATTTGTGAATTTGGCACTTAACAAATACTTCGAGTGTAGAATATTTCGACGTATTCAGGAAAGCCCACTTGAGTGGCGCGCAAAATCACAAGCCGGTAGTTGTAGATTCTTGAGATTTATCAAAAGATTGGGTACTACATGTATTAAATACATAATGAAAAGGGTACAAACCTCAAATTATGGGGGTTCCGTCCAATTTGTTGCACGAAATAGTGCAGGTCCAAAGAAAGCCCGGAGATGGCCAATCGATCTTAGCTTGTGACACGCCTGGGTACAACACGTGGTAACGTAAAATGGTCAAAAAGTGCGCGTAAAGAATTGCTGACCAAATTGATTCGACAGGTCAAGGGTTAAAGGTTCATGAGGGCTTACGGGTGCATATCGAGTCTATGAGATAGACGCAGTAAGCAGCAGCGGAAGAGTTTACAGGGGGAAAGGAAGTACATCGACAAACGTCGCTCAGAAGAAAGAACGTTCCACCTGGGTGTGGAACGGTTGCGTGTTCCCATCCTGTAATTGTGCCAGATGGTAATCTGCTGCACAATGTTATTAGTTTGTTTTTACAGTAGCGTTCTCATAAGAGCATTAAGTCCCTTTTTGTGAAATGTGCATGTCCAATATCTAGGTCCTGCAATTATCATTCCATCTGCTATGGGGGGGTTGGCTGGACTCAGCGATCGATGGATTAGATACTCCAACTTTGAGATTTCTTCAGATCGTCTATCATCTCACCCAATGTCACACAAATCAAACGGATATTAACCATGTGATATGCGTCTCATGATCTGTCCAGTCTGGTAACACTCGACGGTATTTCGCATTCCGATTCATTAGTTAAGAGGAGCTCCCAGAGCACAACTCTTCTTCTAAAACCCTTTTACTGAACGTCAATTTCCATAACGGCATCTCATTCTGCAGGTGAAATTGCTTTGTTTTGAAAAAAACAGATAACTCTATTTTGTGAGACTGTTTCCTCTTTTTTTTTGAGCATCATCGAAGCGCATCTCAAAATCTCTAAAGACATTCGACCCCGAGACCACCTGCTTAATAACTAAATATTATGCTTTTTGATCGCGAATTTCACGTTATCATTTACACGACGGATTATTTACCGAAAGAAGAAATAAAGCACAAACTTCCACACTTGGCCTTCCTGAGAAATCGGATGCCATTTCTTCAAAGTGACAGGGCCCGCTAATCCTTTAAGTGATTTCACGAGGGAATACTCACTCATTCACTAATTCAAATCGATCAACTCAATATTTCATGATTAGGTGACCTGTCATGATGAGTTTATAGCCAGTTCGAAGACCACATATGTACCCATTTCACAGTGTCCTTATTGTTGATAACAGTGGCATTCATTTTCTGCTAAACGTTTCATTGTTTGTAACACCCGTTTACTTATCCAGCATAGTCACGTCCAGTTTGTTGAACATCTGATCCCGCTGGTCAAACTTTTCGCCTGTTTGGCATCCAGCTGTGAAAATATTCGAGTGCTGGTAAGTTGTTTCACGAACTATTCTGTCACATATATAATCATTTACGAAGGCTTAGTCTTGTTTACCAGTTCTCAAAGTTGTTGCTCATGTGTCTTCAAACTTATTTTCACCTTCCTTTTCAAGTTGATTTGTCTCAAATCTACTTGAATGACAACCTTCAATCCTTTTATGTATGTACTTTGAGTTAAAATGTGAGAAGAACAAGTGTTTCGCTTCGCTTCAATTTGCATCATGCAATTCCTCCGATCACCTGCTTTAACAGACCAAGAAACTGTGCATCGTTGAGATGCCTTTCGTGTGATGTGATAGTGCTATTCGTAGAAGTTGCTAGATTTACACCTGCTTTACAGACCAAGAAACTGTGCATCGTTGAGATGCCTTTCGTGTGAAAATGTAGTGCTATTCGTAGAAGTTGCTAGATTTAGAATTCTGCGGCGTCGTTCATGCGATGTTAAGGCAATTAAGAGCGTTGTTAACATCCCACGTTGTCGTCCCAACTCATAAAAGCTGTAGGCTTGTCTGCTCAGAATGAAGCTCTGAGTTGGGGAACCGTATTGTGCTACAGTCGTGTGAGGAGCATTCGTTCTGTCTTCTGTTCACTGTCACTATTCACTTCGGTTCCTACCGGAGTCCTCTTTTATTAATTCCTCATTTTTTATGGTAATTCGTTAGTGATTAGGTATATGCTGGTGGCTTATGCTAATAACTAGCCTCCACCCAAGTACACATCGTCCTTTATGGTCAGGCAGCTGTTTTATTCCGCTATATGTTTGTGTTGTCGGTGAATTCACCAACCCGACGTTTACACTGTCCAACCGGTTCTATTAGGTCTGAATATATCCTATTACAGTATCGATATCGACTGAACCAACCGAAAACTTGTTTACTTTACTCTGTTTTAGTTCGCCGAAGTTTACATGTGTGAAAAACTCTTTGAGTTCACCCTTCGCCTAAAGCCAATGGGATCGGAACACGGGAATCTGATGTTGGAATTTCAGGTGAGCCCTGTTTTGGTCCTAACCTAACTCTGTCATCTTCGTTTAATCACACGCGTCACCGAGATTCGTTGGAATTTAATGAATTTGAAAACCTTTTTGTTGTCACCTCTGTTACTGTGTTCAGCTGCTTGAGGGACTGGTTAGAAATGATCAGTCCATCCAAAACCAATATCACATTGTGGTGGATCACTCAAAATCGTTCACCTGTAACACCCTTCCGGTGTCTAGCTGCCATACCACCCGGGAGAAGCACGTGGGCTGAGATACTGCCAGGTTGCCCTGGCCTAGACAGGGGGAGTGAGAGGCACAGGTCGGGTTCGAACCACAGACCTTCCGGCCAGTAAATTCACGCTCTTACCACTTGAACCATCTCTTTTTTTTATACCTATTCGCTTTCGGAAGCAGGTCCTCAAGGTTGTGTCGAAGCGAGGAAAATGCCAATTCTTTTTCGCGAGTTTCGGATCTAATGACAGTGTCTGTTTTGCTTCAGTGTAGTAGTGTGCTGTTCAGTAGAATACATTAAACAGGTGGAAAAACCCTGCATTTGATAATACTCTTATTGGGGTCACAAGCACATGGTGCCAAAAGGTTTGCCGCGGGGGAAGTTCACTGTCAGATCCATGATCGAAAGAACTACTGCTGTCGTTCGTAGTTCCTTCCAATTAGTTCACACTTGTAGTTAATCTCTCTGTTAGAATGGAACATCATTTGCATCTCCGAATACATGGACTTCGATGAAGCTTCTCTTTCTATTTGGTATCGGCTTCCCGTCGTTTTTTTTTTGTGATTATGGGGGTTCTCTGTCCCGCTGTTTCGCCATCATTATCAGAGCTCCACCCATGATGCAAGGAATTTTTTATGGTTGCAACTCTGAACACCCAACCGCTTCAATCAGAATGACCTGCTAAGACTATTTAACTTGCCTCTCGGTCTCCCTGTTAAACTGACGGCCATCATCCTTTTCGTGGTCGTTTTATGTATCTGCACGCAAGTCAATCCTAAAAAGTCCCATTAGCCATCAGCCTAAGGTAAGATGAGTGTCCATGAAGCTCATTAGACGTTGGAAAAACCATAGAAGGCGAGTAAGCACAGTCTGACAAATATTCATTCACAGTATTGCTTATTCGGGACCTTGGTAACAGAAAGCATGAGAAACTAGGTAAACAGAGTGAGTGTGTTGCGGGAAATAACGAAGATTTTTACGACGGTGTGGGATTCTCATCTGATAGCGGTCATCATCATCATCGACAGCATGACATCAGTATTCAACACCGATGCTTCACTGCCGTACAACCATGATTTATTTGAAAGCCTTATTGTAAAGAAAAGAGTAAAGGTGGACGGGGGAGGGACTTATTGCTAGCTTAACACAATCATTTAGAGGTGCCTACACCTCCAGAAATTCACTCAGGTAATCTGGACAGAAACTGGCAACAAGAATGCCACTGACATCGATTGGCAGCCATATCTTGTAGTGCCTCCAACCAGGCACAATGAGGATCACGCAGTCCTCATCCTGGATTCTGTACTACTAACGACAGAACAGAAGAAGTCAAACTGCGCATCCATGGTGGAAAAGTGGTCGAAGTCCTCGATCAGAATTGGACAACTAGTGTGGCACATAGTCTCCTGCCACAATCAGCAAAGGATTGGAACGTAAGTGTAGGCGCCTGGAGAATCTGCTATGTATAAATTAACAACGGAACAAAGAGCAAAACAGAAGCCCAACTTTCCTCCAGAAATGAATTAAAACAACCAGAAGGTGTTGAAAACCGGAATTCAGCGCTCCGTTAGGCCGTCGCGTATCCCATGGTGAAACTCCAAGGAAGGTGAATTACGTTGGCCAGATACTTTGAATTTGTGAGTGCTCGTCGTTCTGTTATCATGGCTCGTAAAAAACTGGAACATTCTGCGCACACTGTCGGATTATTATACCATTGTCTTGGAGTTATATATATATATATATGTATATATATATCAAATATTCTCTATCCGGATTTCGGTGAACGAAACTCTGTTAACCTAGGGGATACTTACTGGAAAGACGGAAAAGAACGTAAGCTGGCATTAGTGAATGACGAGCCGCACCGCTGTTAGTTTGTCACCGTATCCGTTTACCGCCCGCTAGAAGCTACTTAGTCCCTCTCTTATCCTTACCATGTAAAATGTTCTGATATATCACTGTGCTAGTTCTGTCACTCAGTTGTAGGACAGTTTCACATGACCGTGGGATAAAGCATCAGCTACAACGCCAGCTCACGTTGCCAAAATAAATGGAAATGTACTGCCACAACCAGTTGATTGTACCGCCAATCTGTCAGCACTTTTGCATTCGATCCCTAAAGAACTGTTGCCTTGTGTACCTTCAGTGACCTCCGACGAGTTCTCTCGTGTTTGTTCGCCATGTTACCTACTTTGCATATCCCACAAACTTAAGTAACACCCCCACTTCTTCCTCACCACACAGCACTCCGTTGCCGTTCTACTGCATGTTCTCTCAAGGTCATTCAGCGCACACCATTCATTTTTCCGACAGGAAAGCAGTATTACTTACCTAATACAAGTAGGTCCTTGTTTGTGTATGTTCTTTTTAAACTGCATTTTAGCCAATTTACGTGTAAGCTTTCAAGGAAATTTCGATAAATTTGGTTTTCAAACTAGACGTACGATACCCCTTTTGGGTCCTTGAAGGCTTGTCTGTTATCTATATAAATGACACGTGGCGAAACTTTCTTTTATCTTGGACTGATTTTTCCACTGTCCCATTTCCGAATACATTGTGTCAGTTCATTTGAGCATTTGGTAAGAAACCCGGAGAATAAACTAATTGGCTGACAACAGTGAAGCTAGCTAGTATGGATCAGATTGGAACTGGAGATGTTGTGTATGAGAACTGGATGCTAGGCAATACGTTTGATAACAAGGCTAATGCAACCCAAATGGGCTTTTTCCGGAATGCAGAATCAACCGTCAGCTGATGCTTGCGACTTACTGCCTCGAGACGCATACTTTCAGAGAATTCGTGACGGAAGTACTATTTAATCCGTTGTGGAATCTGAATAGCGTACTTTGTAATTTGTGGCCCTCTTTTCATCACCTTATCCACATACCCGATATCATGCATAACCGGTTCGTCTAAATTCATTCAAATCCAAAAGGAACCAGAAAAAACGTATCAGTTTACGTTAACAGCAAAAAGACTTGCTGGTTTAGTCCCAGATGTTACGTGAATGGGTAATTACGAATCAGTGATCAGCCTCCTGTTGGGTCCATCCGAAACGGAGCACTAGACAGCTTTCACTGTTTTGCAGAGATCACCACCACTGAGCGTTTCATGTGATCTGTTGCGTCAAGTTACTCTGTAGGCCAGCCAGTTGATCAAGCAATCATGCAATCATAGTGAGTATTCAACAACTGACGAGAATCTTGCTGTCCTGTCTTTTTTCTATTTTTGTCAATATTACCGTGTTATAAGCAAGCCACGCTGGTCTTCTGATGTACGTCGTCGCCCTAACAAGTCACTTTACCAAGCCACACCTACAGAAAGACAACACCGCCTCTTAGAGGATGCTGGTGAGGGGACCAGTTTGATTAAATCGTAGTGGTCGGGATGACGAGGGCTTCTTCTGCTAAAGCGAAAGTGGTTACGTGAAGTTTCTGAAGTCTCTCATGGCCCTGAACTCGGCTGGAGACATCCTGCAACCAGCTGATGTTACTGGCGTTCATGATATTGATTTATCATCTCAGAGTGATTGTCGGCATCGCGTTTTTTCCTCTGCAACGTGTTTTTTTTAATTTAGGGCTTCAAATATAATTTACTAGGTTTTGTGATTGTACCCCAGTGAAGTAAGCGTTCAGCTGTAGCACCCTTCCGGTGCCTAGCTGCCATGCCACCCGAAGGAAGCACGAGGGCTGGGATACTGCAAGGTTGCCCAAGCCTAGACAGAGGAAGTCGAGTGGCGGAGGTCGGATTCGAACCACGGACCTTCCGGTCAGTAAATTCGTGCTCTAACCACTTGGGCCATCTCGCCCCACCCCAGTGAAGTATCGGTGTTCATACTGTTATTGCTGATGACAATGATGAGCACTGTCAGTGTCATACGAGGAAATTGAATGAACGGACTAAAACATGTCACTGAACGAGTCGTTCTGTCTCTCAGGACTCATTCAGATGATCGAAAACTGCTTGTTTTGTAACCCAAAATTCAATTGGATATTGCCGTGGTGTTGTGCTGCGTCAATGCCACTTATGCGTCAATAGATGAGAGGAAGTATGATCAACGGGCCGCATGCTTTTGCACAGTCACACCGCGAGTACTAGGAGTGTAGCGTCTGAAGTGCGCACCCTAGGACACCTAATTTAGAAACTGCGCTTGTCATCTTATATTCCGTATACCAGAGGCTTCTTTATACCATTCTGTCCAATTTTCTTCCTTGCCTAAAGCTAGTTGAGGACAATCTGTCGGCTGCTTGTCGAGGACAGAGCCTCTGTGCCCACGTGGTTGAGGCCGCTTCATGTGCTCTGGTCAACATCTTGTTACCTATGTCACCTGGTAGACAAGTAAGTTTACATCATCAGTTCGTCTCATGGTGTCTTCAGTGGTTAATCTTATTCACTGTTGTGTGCACTTGCAAATTTCAGTCAGCGGCATAAGATATTATCCGGTTACGGAACAGAAAAGTCACTCACTGACGGGCTCCACTGCTCTACGGCTTTAAGCTGTCCTCTGAGGAAATTCAAAATTAGGGCACAACTTAGGGGTCATAGCCAGCGCTGAAGGCAGATTTTAAGCATGAATACACGTACTAACCAAGAAAGACGCATTGAGGTAAGTGGTCATTCAGTAGTGCTAGATAAACGTTTGTTCAGGACTTAGCTTATCCGAACTGCTCACTTTGCATTGGATCTTCTACTCAAAGAACGCCTCAGCTGATTCTGCAACTTATGTAAGATTGCACATTATCAGCTGATATACTCGCACTGGGCCTAAGATGTGGGCACTTTTGACAAAGCTTGAGCAGGTCACTACTATAGCGCTGTTAACACCTATTTCAATGCTGTTCGCCTTTCACCGTTCGTTTCATCAGGCCTACTTTGCATACTTGTGAGCACTTATCTCATGGTGACACTTCTGTGTTCCATAACTCACGTAAGCTGGAATCGAATTCATTGATTCACCAAACCCAAGCCTCTTCACGAGTACTGGATAGCTGTTGAATTTTAGCTTTATTCCCCGATTGAAATGCTAATCTTGTGCTTTCGGACACAATATTGTTAAATAAATAGGCTTCTTTTATTTTTTAGCCGTTATTCCTTCTGTTCACTCATATATTTGTCCCAACTATCCATCTCCATCCACTACTCTATTTTGTTTACCCTTTAGATATCTCAGTCAATAGTGGAACGTTGTATCTCTGTGTTTATCCGCCTGATTAATGCAAAGGAACAGCAAGATGTCTCAGCCTCATCTGCGAGTTCAGAGACAGTTGACTGCAGTCTACCCGAATTGACACCTGACCTTCGCTCATGCAACACGCTACTTTCTGATCGGCTTCAACACACCTTGACCGTATTTCGACTGAACGGAGTTTGGGGCTTGGCCAATATATTGCACAGTGCACCGTCCAGTCTATGTTCGGAGTTGTTCGAGCGATTGGTGACAGATGGAGCGTGGCTTGAACTGGTTCGACCTATTCAATCAGCGCGAGCTTGTTGGTCTGGTTCTTCGACTGCTGCCGCCGTGTTTGGATCTTGTGGGTCTAGTTCCACTCGAAGGGTTTCGTGTGACTTTACTTCTGGTGTGGATAATTCGCATTCTAGCGGAGCAGGGCAAAATGTCCATGTGTCTGGGACTTTGAGGTTAGTATCTGGATGATGCTGCCAGTGATTCCGTATGGGCCACATACCTTCCTCGTTTCCGTATTTTTTTTCTTGCCTTGCGAGCTTATAATCACTTAAAGTAAACGTGATTGCGTCAGTGATACGGTGTCATAATAATGTAGCACTGCGGCTAGGTGCATTCACGCATGTGTGTTGGACATCGTATGCGATGTTGCGTCTAGAGAATGGTGTCAAATCGTCGAGGTTGAAATCAGCTACTCCATCCATGTATCCTTGGTTTAGAAATAATCAATCGAAAATTAGACTAGAAATGTTGACTTTTCGATTAGGATCTCGTACCTTAAAACCGTATTTCTCACCGAAGGTTTTCTCTACTGTCGGCCATCAAAAGACTAAGGCTTTAGTTTATTCATACGTGGCCCACATCCTGCGGAGTTCTTGATTTTTCACGGGTTCAGGGAGATGGGACCGAGAGATTCTTCTTGCCCCTTAAGGCCATTTCGTTCAGTCAACTTCGGACCTTTCGTGCTGACCAGTACGGTAAATGATTGCTTCGTCTAGGCAGTGGTGTCTTGGTGGAGCGTCTTGCTTACGATCCTTAGTATTTGGCCGTCGGCCCATTTTTTTGTCAGTGCTCACTTCTGATGGAAATGACAAGTGTTTTGTGTCAGTGAGCGTGTTTCTTATGAATGAATTATTTTCGGAATATATTTAATTTCTGTTCCGTTTTTATGTGCTCACCTAGTCTACTCCTACCCCTCATTCTAACCGGCTGTTGACCTATTTCGTTCTTTTGCCGTATAGAGCATCACCATTTTCAGACCCATCCTTACTATCCCACAAGGACGGTGTCGATATACCCCCCCTGGTCACTGCTGATTCAGTCAAATCCAATGTGGTGATTTCCAAGTCAGTTGACAATACGCAAGAGACAACGACTAAAGTCCGCTCTTCGCTGATTGAATCTTTTCCTAAAGATGAGGAGTCGCACGTCACGATTCAGACTATGCTCCTCTTCTATACCCTCATGTTGCTGCGAAATCTGCTGCGGCATAGGAAGGTATGTAGCCTTTTGCATTTGAACTCTTATGAATATTCCTATGACCCTTCTGGAGATTCGACCAATCTTTGCTTCATTCCAGCGGACGCGTAATCGCGAATCAACGCTCACAAACATGTCCAGACTGTGTGATCCATCGCCAAAAAGCAGTAGGTCGTGCTGATGATCCGGGACTATGAGTGGCCACTCTGGTAGCCGTAAACTTTCAGCTTATAGCTTGCGCATTTGTGGTGGATTGTTGGAGATTGGAATTCGTAGAGACAGTTCAGACAGGAAGGCGTTGCTTGAAACCATTGCACATGGAAACGAGATTGGTGTGTGGTAGTTCGGGCCAGTAGAACTATGGAGTGGGGACGTGCTCTGGCTGCGTACATGCCTAGCTATCATCACTGAAGGGGCTCCTCTGAACCTATTGGCACGTTTAGGAGATCCAGCTGTAATTGATTAATCAGTCCTGCCAAGAAGGTACAGGAAAAAAGGTGAACCCTTGGCCAAATGTAATAGGTAGTTGGGGGACGAGGTCGAAAGCAGCAGGCAGCTTCTTGAGTCTAGACTCACAGATGGTTGAACGTCGCACTGCTATGGATATAGGTGGGATGTGGACGAGACAGGTGGATAGAACGACTCCTAGGAATGAAGCACTACTGATATTGACGGGAGGGAATGTATCGAAAGGGTTTTTTGATACCACTTATTTTAAGAACATCACAAACGAGAGATTCAAGTAAGTCCAGGTAAGTCTCCCCCACTTTATGTCCAATTTTGTGCCTCGATGTGTACAAAGAATTGTTAACGTTGCGTAGTGCACATGTAGCCTTACAAGAACCCTCAAAACAGAGGGACGCACCATTCATCATGCACGTGTCGCCTGAAACTTAATCGTGTACTCCTCGATCGTACAGACGGTTCTTCGGATATCCGGTTTCGTACTTCCTATGTGAAGTAATGAGCAGAATTCGATGTATCGTAGCAGTTAGGGCACGAGGCCACTTTTCGGGATTTCCAGGGTTCGAATCCAACCCTTGCTTTTGAGTTCTCCTGGAGAGGCTTTGGCTACCCGGAGGCATCCCAACTTCAATGGTTCTTTCGAGTTTCACTGATGCTTTGCAACCAGGGGGTGCCACAGTTGAGCGATTGGACGCGATTGAAAAGGCACCTTTCCGTGGATCATTATATAGATCCTGCAGGATTTCATATCTTAACGGATGCATTCCTAGGAGTTACTTTTGTGTGCAGTTTCTTGTGCTTGTGTACTTTCCGATGAACCGGGACTAATGGTAAGTTTAAATGCGGCCAAATGTCTTTCTCTGCAATATATGCCGTAAATATAGCATATGTACGGTTCAATGGCCCGATGCGTTTTCACATTCGTGTTCGCTCACAAGTATTAATCGCCCCAGACAGGTCTTTGCTTCGTCACTACACTACTTGCCCTGGATAAAAATAGAGATAATTGTATCTAATCCAAGGGAGGTATCGCTTTTCGTTGGGCGAGAAGGTTGTTGAATGTCCATCGCCCTTCGCCGCAGATCGTCTGACGATGACAGTCATGTATGAATCGGTCGGTTCACCTTAACAGGTCCCTCAGCAGGCTACCCCTGAGGTTGTGTTTCATTCTGTAGCATTCTGAGCGAAATTGCTCAAATGGTTAGAGCGCGAATTTACTGACCGGAAAGTGCGTGGTTCGATCCCGTTTTCTGACTCTCGACTTCCCCTGTGTAGGCTTGGGCAACCTGGCAGTATCCCAACCCTCGTGATTCCCTCGGATGGCCTGGCAGCTAGGCACCGAAAGGGCCTTACAGCTGAACAATTTAGTTTTTTATTCTACTTTCTACTACCAAGCAATCTTCTTATTGTATTTCAATGGTCAGGCATCAGCACTCATGTCTTCCTTCCCCGAGATGTGTGCGTCCGAGGGACATTTCGAAAACTTCTCAAGATTTCGTTGCTCTCCTTTCCCCTATCTGTTTGTCTTATTATGGCACTTCGTTTTGTGACTCTACAACCAGGTCATCGACGCCATCATAAAGGAACACTGGTGGGACGTCACACAATTGATCATCTCTGTTCTCGAGGGCAATAACCCGAAACCAATGAAGGAACAGGTTCGTCTGGTTGTTTGTGGTAACTGTGACAAGTTTGGATCAGATTTCTTATTTCGGTGAACAGGATGTGTTGTTTTTGCTGCAAATCCGTGACTAACACAATGAATGAGAGCTACTCTGGCGAACTACACTCACTTACCACTCTGAATATTTTTACAGCAAAATATCTCAGGTCTCAGAAAAATCCACCAAATAAGACTTTTCAACTGCTCTTTTTCACAAAAGGCAACGTCCCCTCAAAACACAATCGGTTACCATCCAATAGGACAACGAAGCATCTGAGGTAAATGAGGAAACATTTCATGTACCTATTATTGATTGTTTCCAACAATCACGCGGAGGACCTCAGAAGTCTAATCGTTCAAATGGAGGTTTATCAACAAATGCGGTACAATAATAAAATAAAATTGTACCAACCTCAACTCGTGCAATTACGTCGGATTCTGCACACCGGTTTACCAACTGCTAATTCCAGTGAGGTCCCGAGATTCACACCGACTCAAGACGTAGTGGGCACCAGATGGTGAAACCCACGTGTTTGACTAGACGTACAATGACAAGGCAAAAGGGCGGTTTACGTTCCGGTCAAAACATGAAAAGGGGTGTTGGCGCGAGACGGGGAATCACGTTATACACAGTGAGCATAAAAGAAACCAATCAACGCGTATAGTAATTTGTAACCAGTGCATCAGTCCAACAACGGACACCCATCCTTCTAGTCTTCAAAAGACAGTTTCACAGTCGCGCGAAGCGTACATTCGAGAGCATGATTCCTATGTATTACTTTATCAAGTAGCATCTGCCCATGACTTCGACGCTGTAAGACAATGGATGGATACAAACAAGCTGGCCATCGTAAGGTTTGGGAGATTCCTTAGTACTCCGGATCGTCATGTACGTGTCTGTAAATTCACAACCAGTCGTATTGTACGTTGGAAATGCGATGCGACGTTCCATTGGAAGATTATGTCCCAACTGCTCAATTGGGGAGTCTTTTCTATAACGGCTCAGCTCTTGCCCATCTTCGTCCAACGGCGGTTTGTCGTTGTCTCGGCTGTACGGCATATCAAGTATGGTAGCAGTACTCCATTGAGTGAGGTGTTGAGGAAATTAGGTAGGCCATAGTAACGCGAGTTCCACAAAATTGCTTTTTATCCTGACGCATCTCGCCGCTTGATATGTGGGGATCGTTTCCTTGTCTGTAGCAGCACTGTCGCATGGCTTGTACGTCTGTAAGCCTGAAATTCCTTTGTAGTACGTTTTGACTACTTGCAAAATAATTAAGTAGCGGCATATTGCCGTGAATACGAATGAAGATGGTTGCAACAGCTATGTAGCCATGCCGTTCACTTTGCCACAGCCTCAATCTAAGCATCGCACCGAACAGATCAATTTATGCCAACTTCAATCTTGACTCGGGCAGAGGCTCCAATCTTGCATACGAGTTTTACTTTTTGGTTCTCCACTTTTGTAACAAACGAGCGCCTATTCTTTGGCGTAAAGCCTTGAAGTCAGAAAACTAACTTATGAGCGGCTGTGTATACGGAAATCAGTGATAGTCGTTTTCACCATTGACTGTATAATTGCTCTTCAACGGATTTACATGAACCACAAATATTGTTTTTCCTGTGGGATTGTTCACTATTTTTTTTATGAGCTGGCATGAACCGTATATATTCGGTCACCCAACTTCCGATTCTCTTAAATTTCGTTTGCAGGCTATCCTAGTTCTTGCACATATCGCAAACGGACAGACAGCTTTGGAACAGCTTCATCGTAACGAAGATCTCATTGAGAAACTGAAATTGTTCATGGTAAGTGTTGTACCCAGGAATAGTTCACTTTCCTGACAAATTCGTTCCGGGCCTCCTTTCATAGTTTCGTAGTCTCTATTTATTTTATCTGTCTTATTATGTTGAGTGGGACTATACTTCGCCGGCCTCAGCCTGCACTCATTTTTTGCAACTTCAGCGCTCACCGGATAGCCACATCAAGGCCGCAGCACTGACCGCGACATTCAACCTCCTGGGCCTGGGACGTGAGGGCTGTGGTGAGTGTTCATCAAAACCTCATTGGGATTGAATCCCTCAGTTTAGTCATCGGAGAATTCTAGACCGTGTTCATCATGCATGAGTCTGAAGTCACCTCTTGGGATAGGTTTACATTGTAACCCTGTAAAATATTCCATTTCACACCATCGCTAGAGTAACTGAAAGCCTCACATCTGGATAATCTCGTTATTTTTAACCGAAACGGCGCTTCTCTGGCCTTCCATGGGCTCAAACGTTCTGCAGTAATGTCGGCTGGCCGTTAGATCTCTTCTTCCTCCATAGTACAGTTATTTCGACCCATGTTTCATTGCTATAGTTCAGTCATGATTGAAAAAGACCTGCCGCCGGCGGAGTTTCGCGGCTGCATTTGATTTCCGAGGTAATCCCAATTTGGACTCACACCTGCAAAGTGTAAGCGGCTGCTGCAAAGTTGGATGAGGTCACATTCAAAACGCGTACTTACGGGCCAGTCGGTCGACGCGGTAAACCGATTCCTTTACCTGGGCAGATGCCAAACCATCGTTTGCCGAAGAGTGTGCTGTTTTCCTTCCACGATTCAGAGTGGCGTAAACAGAGGTGGCCAGCCCTTGACTTGGCAGAGGAGTATGAAGATCACGAAACGCTTGGGTGCTGTCTATGTTAATCGCCTTCCAGGATGGGGACCGCGTGATCCTCACTGTGTCTGGTTGGAGACACTACAAGATGTTGCTGCCAACCGCTACCAGTGGCGTTCTTGTTGTCAGTTTCTATCTAGATTGCCTGAGTGAGTGTCTGTAGGTGTAGACACCTCGGAATGATTGTGTTAAGCTAGCATTAAGTCCCTCCCCCATCCACCTTTACTCTTTTCTTTACAATAAGGCTTTCAAATAAATCATGCTTGTACGGCAGTGAAGCATCGATGTTGAACACTGATATCATGCTCTCGATGATGATGTGTTGGTTAAGGACTACTCTAACTTTCCAGCCTCTGACATATCTGGCAGTGGCGTCACATTAATTTGTCTGCCAAGGGGAGAGATTACACCGCCACAGTACTATCCATACTGCTTTGTGGGTCAAAAACATAGCTTCTAAGCACATAGGATGTATTAAAGTTGTCAGTGTTTGACCACCATTGTCTCTAAATCACCAGTCAGGTCTGGTGGAAACATCGAATTAACACCGCTGAGGTGCGCCGAATAATTTTAAGAAGATAGATGAATTACTCGTGACTTACAGGTTACACAGTTCAAAACCTGTACTCTCACAGATCTGTCTTCATCCGGTCTGTGTTGAATGGAAGTGACCGAGAGATGGACAAACTGTGACCTGGCAACTTCGGCCCGTCGATGGAACTCCCGGAAGTCAACTCATCAATGATTGTTGACAATGACGGACGCAGTCGCTGGCGCTCCTGCATCAACGCTATCAACATTAGTGCGTAGCTAACTAATTGGTCATGTCATCGCTTTCGGTGCGTGGCTAAACTTTACATTCTTTCCTATTTCCTGGTGATTTAACCTTTGTCAGCTGCAACCAATGTAATTTTGATACTTGGTTAATAGCGGGTGAACTGAACCGAACCGAATCGATTTTGGGCGTTCACCGTGAAAAGATTCGAGGTACTCAATAGACGAACATCAAAAGTTTTCCCTGGTCCCGTGAAGTCAACTGAATCTTCGTACTCGGGTGCATGTTAGCTTCCGGAAACACATCCCCATCACAACTGCTGCTGTGCTATCTTTCCGTTCGCTATTCGATGTCCGACACAAAAAGCACCCTCCCCAGCCCCTACGCGTATGAGTTAGTCTTAGTTTGGTTGAAGATTCACATCCGATGTAGGAACACCTGCACTTCGGGGCGCAGTTTGTTATCTGAGAAACTGACCTAACGGAACCAACGTATTATCCCAAAACGGGGATATCAGCGAGCATACAGATGTTCCAGCGCTACTTGTCTGGTTGCAGTGTATTGAGAACATTAAAGTTAATGTACAACACAGCGCAAATAGACATCTTACGAACCACGGTCGTCAGTCATGTTCTTCAGCATCATTATCATGCCTTTTTCACTATGTTTCACCAGTATAAAGAAGTCCTCCAAAAGCTGATACACGTCATTCCGTTGATGTGTTTGTCTCATCTTTGGAACACATGGTGAGCGCGATGGTCCACTGGTTAGAGTGCGAATTTACTGACCGGAGGGTCCGTGATTCGAACCCGACCTCTGCATCTCGACTTCTGCTATACAGATTTGGGCAGTATCGCAGCCCTCGTGCTCCTTCTGGTGGCATGACATGTAGACACCGAAATCGTGTTACAACTGAACGACTATTCCTCTTATTTACGAACATATATGCGTCTGAGGCTTACTGGAATCGCCTGAGACAACAAGATTTATTAAGATGATGCTGTACGTGGCTTTTGTTGTTTCTCATTGCGACCCTCTAACAGAGTTCGTTATCGTGTATGTAACAGCTGTTTTTTGTTTGTTTAGGAGTAAACGTCAACCTCAAACGCTGATCTGTTCGATGTGTAAGCAAGCTTAATTAGCCCATCGCTGCCAGGTTGTTCAAATGAATTAAACCCACTTTTGAAATCAAGCAAAAGCAAACCTTTTTGGCTGTGTTTGGGTTTATTACAAATTAGTGAAAACTGACTTCTTTCTGTCTCCCTACTTGAAGTATTTAGAGTTCGTTTCGTAGGAACCAGTTAGAAAATTTAAATTTATGTTACTTGGTTATCAATTTTGTGGTCGTGCCATGCGCCTCACATACGTTCGTCCAATTAGCCATATTTTTTTATCCTCATCCACTCCGGCAACCACCAGTACGTTTCGTAGGGCAACGACAACCTTGCCTAACAACAGGAAAAGCGCCGAAGTCCTGGAAGTGCTCTGTTTTCGGAACGCTTAACCGCGGCCCTGTCGTCGTTACGTAACGGCTTCTCGCCTAAGATTTCTTGCCTGGAATCATTTTTTCGCATTGGTTTGAATGCAGTCGGTAATAATGTTGAAGCAACGTTTTCAGTCATTGGATCCTCTCTTCGCACTTCCGATTAGTAGATACGTCTATCAGACTTGTATCAGCTGTTTGCAGAGATCCTTCCTAAAACCATGTGATGTACCTCAACATTTCCAATTTGATGTTCCAACAGACCCGGCCAATGCTTCGGGTATACCGATGGTCAAATGGTGACAGCTTTCATGTGTCCTCTGTACATAGAGATCATGTTTCTGATCCAAAAACCAGGGTGGATAGCACTACCGTGGTGTATACTCTGCCCTTAGACAAACTGTCGGAGGTTTAAAAGAGCTGCCCTGGTCTTCCCACTTCTTGAAATAATTTCTTCAGCCAGCCCACCGGAACTCATACAACTGCCCCGTAAACAGATTTATTCACCCATCGATCAGCACGTCTGCTGTCGTAAGGTTTGTGTTTCACCCCACCCAGTCTTTATACTGTGCAGGTGGAGAGCAGAATTACTTGGGATATTTAATGCAACTTTTTCAACCGGAGGATCTGAACCAAGGAAAACAATATCATCTATGTACCCAACGTCTCTGAATGAGCCCCTCGGGAGCACTCTAGTCACGCAGATTTCAGATTCAGGGAGAGAAGTTTCAAGTCAAAAATGTAGTTCAGAGGAATGTCGAAAGAGGTTAGCCTTGTTTTAAACAACTGGGTGTGGTGACCTCAACGGAAAGCTTGTCCACATAATTTCGTATTCAGGGCCCTTACAGGATGTATAAATTTAGAAGAGGCATCTTAGATTGCCAAAGTTTCTGATGATCGACTTAGTGAAAAATGTGCGACGTTTGAAAGACTGGCGTTGTTCAGGATCTTGTCTCCTCTGCAAAGTAAACTCCGACTTAATTCTTAGGAGTTTATTGCCTCTGACAATCTGTCATCCTGCGAAAAATAATGCAAGAGAGAACTTTATATGGAACGGATACAAGACTGATGCCATAACGGTTTTCGCCGTTGGCACAGATACTAGCTTCACCTTCTGTGTGCGGCTACGTGCACTTACCTGTATTTATGGACAGGTCCCAATTATTTGACCACACGCAAACTTCACCTAATGAATGGAGCAAAAATACACTTATTTGTAAACCAGTTTTATGGGAGACTCACCTAGATCCCAGCTGAATCTCTCGTTTATGAACAAAAAGCTCTTGTTTAGCTAAAACTCATGTGCCAAGATTGTTCTGTAAGTACATTTCCCCCCGGGCGGACAGTTCTGTTACATCAAATTTGAACTATATGGTCACCAATCTCCTGAACCTTGCATGGTTGACGAGCTAAACTGACGTCGCCAACTGAAATCTGCATTTACATCATTCTTTTAGTTGACTTTGTGCTCTGTGGTTTAGTTATGTGTATATTGTGCCACTTCCGCCATTATCATCCTTAATTCGTTCTCTATTTTCAGTTAGTTCGCTCCTAGTTACCTAGGTATGTTTGATAGAAAGTTGTCCACTAGAAATCCTAAGCATGTTTCGAAAAGTCTGGCATTGGCTTATCTTTATCCATGGTTGAACCACTGTTTATTTGACAAGCCCTCTTCACTGTACTTTTTATTTAGCTTCGCCGACGTTTCTAAGCCATCTTCGAGACCCTGGAAATTCGCTGCTCCATTCTTGTCATCGTGGCTTGCTGCACCGGCATCATCGTCATAAGGATCGTCACAGACGCAGACCAGAATCACATATGCCCCCTAGCGTGTCTACCTCGCCTCCCGAGTCGACGATTCGTAGTGTTGTCACTTGTGTAGCTCAGTCAACTCTCGAAGAAGCAGAGGAAGAGCTTGAAGAGGAGGAGCAAGACGTCGTGCTTGAGCATGCCTATATCACCGAAGAAGTTTCTTCGCACGCTCCAGTCGTGCAAGATTCTGAACCAACAAGACCACTGGAGCGTTTGGATGCACGGCCTCCGAGTGGGTGGATGTTGCAGGACACCACAGTCTCATTTACACCTACACCGGATACCTCTCATGAACCACCAGACTCCGCCATCAGTAGAAGACACCGGCGCGTTTACCGTTGTTGGCTCTCCCCACCTTCTGTTTCGGCAACGGAAGGTGATTCTGAAAACTTAGTCACCCATTCAGAAAGTGCACTTCCTCGGTCGTTGTCCGGCAGTTCATCATCCTCCAGCACATCATCCACTTCATGCGCAGAAGAACTTATGCGTGGCGGAACACAGTTGGCTGACTTGGACCCAACGACAGCGCAAGATGTATGCGGTGCGTCTTCTAGCTGTAGTGAGGGAGAGCTGAGGGGAATGGATCCTTGCGTTCACGAGGATGAGGCTGGTGGAGCAGCAACCCACCTAACGGGAAGTCGAGCGCCCTTAGCCGCTCAAGAGGGCCTAGATGAAGTTGATACACAAATCACTCAACTTTCGGCTCCCGTTGTCGATGGTTTTCGGCGGACTCCTGAAACGTCCTCTACCCACTCGAATATTACCGACACTTCTCGGGGCAACACAATGTGTGATTCATCTTCCTCCATACCTGAATCATCGAAAGTCGATGAGACGTCCCCTGTCCTTGTTAAATCCTCACCCCCCTCCGGATCCAAACGATCCTCTGTAAGACGTTCTCGCAGAGACTGGGAGGCCGGTTTCCGTCATGTCCTCCTACCGTTTTTACAAGAACTCGAGTCAGACCAGATTCTTCGTGGCACCTGGGATTGGTTGATGTTGCGCGCGAGCAACATGGGTCGGCCCATTCCACTCCATCAGCTTTTAGTAGCCTGGCAGCGATTACATGATACCATACCATCTTCTAGTCTCCTCAAGACTACTACAACATCACTGGATTTCGATGCATCACTATTTACTAATTGCGTGACGGTTGATGCGTTCCTAAAAAAACTGAAGCAGTCATCCACCTCCTCAGTATCCCCATTTTTGAACTCTCCACGTCATCGTGAAGGACGTCATCATCCGCGACGTCGTCACCATCATTGTCACCGACACCAGCTGCGTACCCAATCGCGGCGTCTAACCGACCAGTTAACTGAGCATCCGTCGAGTGAAGACGCATGCATATCAACTCCTGTGCCTCCAACTACCACAACTTCCGAGGACTTTGAACGTACAGATGACGCCTCTGCATCGTAAACTGTTAGCCTAAACGACCTTTCACGAAACCAGCCGTCGATAATCCTTCATTGGGCTTTCCATTTTTCATGACACCGCTTTTTATTCCCCCTCCTCACTCACATACATCGCCATTTTCCCTCACCCTCGTGCACTTGCCCCCTTTCTACCGTGTTCTGCGTCGCCAGATAATGGATCGCTATGTTTGAAACTGAGCTTGCTTCTTGTTTGCCTCTTAATCAAACTCATTTGTATTTACACTAATCAGCGCGTACAAAAGTAGCCGCAGTCATAATTTTTTTTACCTGACAGAATATTTGCCCACTCTCGAAATATTAAATGATTTAGTACTGGATTAATCTTCTCACTGATTCGGTATCTGCGTTGTTTACACTTGATTGTCCAGGCTTTGTTCTCATCTTTCGGATTTGTCAGTCATTTGTAACCTGTTCTACCAGGTCGTGCAATATAACTTCTCAACGGGGGGGGGGGGTTCTAAAGACATAATTGCCAGTGTGATTCGTTTGACCTCGAAGGGATGCGAAGTCGACCATTCTTCTAGTTAGCCATTGCCTCGAATCCTTATCACAGCACTCGTTTATAGTAAGTGTACGTGGTATCTAAGCTAGGCTTCTGTGTTCCTTGCTTGCCTACGATCGCTTACTTGTGCCATTCATCACTCATTTGATCAAGTAATGTATGGCCTAATTGAGTGGATAGTAGTCAGGTGACCGTCTCCGGACCGTGCTTTCAGCTCGAGATAGCTGAGTTGTTAAGGTGCCAACTTACTGACTGGAAAGTCCGTGTTTCGATCTCTCTGCATCTCGACTACTCCTGTCTAGACTCTAGGCTTCTGTGTTCCTTGCTTGCCTACGATCGCTTACTTGTGCCATTCATCACTCATTTGATCAAGTAATGTATGGCCTAATTGAGTGGATAGTAGTCAGGTGACCGTCTCCGGACCGTGCTTTCAGCTCGAGATAGCTGAGTTGTTAAGGTGCCAACTTACTGACTGGAAAGTCCGTGCGTGTTTCGATCTGCATCTCGACTACTCCTGTCTAGACTTGGGCAATCTGACAGTGTATTAGCCCTCGTGCTTCCTCTGGGTGTCGTAGCAGCTATACACGGTGAAGTTGTTACAGCTGGACGATTTACTATTTTTCTTTATCTCGCGGTCTCGTCTGCATAATGGCGTCAATTGTCTCAAAAACGTAGTAATGTGTCAGAAGGTGTCGCATCCGCTGAATTCAAACCTTAGCACCGATGGGGGGACTTTTTTTTACCACCATCGAACATTCGAGAGGACCACAGATATCCATCAATTTTTTGGGTTAGTGGTTTGGTGGTTGCCGACCCTTAACATGAGGAAAGCCTGCAGCCGGCTGCATCAGTCATCGTTCTCGAATGATTTTCTTCGTTTGTCTGCATACATGTTGACCGGAAATTCCCCCGCGTTTAAGCGGCATTCGACTATTCTGGAGTTTAACCCGTACCGTAATCTGACTTCGTTACATCGCCACCGGCAGTCGTCGTCCAGCTGGGGTACGCTTTCAGTGCCTAACTGCCAGGCCACCCGAAGGAAGCACGAGGGCTGGGATACTGCCAGGTTACCCAAGCCTAGACACGGGAAGTCGAGAGGCAGAGGTCGGATTCTAACAACGGACGTTACGGTCAGCAAATTTTCGCTCTAACCACTTGGGCCATCTCGCCCCCGGTGGTAGCTTCGCCTTCAACTTTCTGCTGCTTGTGCGCTTGCGCAAAATTTTGTCTTATGGTATTCCTCGATGTCCTTTTCCGAAATCAGCGAACTTTGTCATCCTAATTAGTGAAAAAACTGAGTCCATTTGGGGGACGGTTCTTTTGGACAACAACCTCATCAACCCGATTCGTATCCAACGGCCCGTATGATTAAATAAGATTAAATAAGATGGCCCAAGTTGTTAGAGCGCGAATTTACTGACCGGAAGGTCCGTGGTTCGAATCCGACCTCCGTCACTCGACTTCCCCTGTCTAGGCTTGGGCAACCTTGCAGTATCCCAGCTCTCGTGCTTCCTTCGGGTGGCATGGCAGTTAGGCACCGGAAGGGTGCTACAGCTGAACGCTTTCATGATTAAATAAGGGTGTGGGGTTTGAGTCAGCTGTCGGTTCTGGTGGCGAGCTTGTTCTGTTAGTCCGGCTGATTCACACCCAACTTCCCACTCAGGATTACTCCAGGCACCATTCACTCATCTCATCATCAAAGACAGCAACATCAGCGTTGCCACTGATGCTTCACTGCCGTAGATTCACTCATCTATATCTGTCTTACTACAATCTTGGCGACAATTTTTGGGTCGGTCTAGGTGCATCTGGATCTATCAGGCAAGTGCATCAGCAGTTTGTTCTGTTTTGCATTTTTTGTGGAAAGAAATGTAGGATTCTCCCAAATTGTGTCCACTCACGTCGCCAACTTTTCTGCCTGTTCCCATTCTGGCCGCGCTCCTGGTGACAACAGTGGTAGCGACTCACACGGTTGACTGCCCGGTCTGGTACACACTGAATACCGCTTGCCACCCTTATCTTCCCATCCTGGTTTATCCCCATTTCTTTTTATCCGATCACCATGTGAATGGGGTGGTGACTTAACGTGTGGGGCCAGAGCACGACGACCTGAGTTGTGCTCACAAAATGACCGAGTTTTGATGAACCGCTTGCTGGATAAGCATTTCATCAGCTTCGTTTGACGGACTTTCGTTGTTCATTGGAACCATTACATATTTTGCTATACAACCCTCGCTCATTGTAATCAAGGCATATCTTCGTATGACTGAATACACTTGGTAAATGTAAGTCTTCATAACGTTGTTTTGTTGCGCAGCCTTTGATACTTCCCAAATGTTTGTTGTTAGTCACACATTGTGTGAGCTAGTTGACGGAGCGCTACGGGGAGCACTACTATCTGTTCAGATACAGCCGAGGACTTCGTACAAACTGTAAGTATTCGGAAATACAAGGCGTCGCGGTCAACGAACGTTTTCCATAATTTTTCCTCCGGTAAACACAAATACTAAACCTTAATACACGTACTTCCTAGTGAGCTAGAATGTCAGCTCTACAAAACGATCATTCTCAAATTCAATAGCAATACTAGACTTGTAGGTAGGTGTCAGGTGGCTGCAATTCGATTTTCTATCCGTAGTTGCGTGATGCCTATGGACTAAATCTAATCTCGTGTAGAATTGAGAGTTGAGTCGAATCTGAATTTTGCGTATCCATCCATTGATCGTTCGTGCGCTAATACGCCTTTTCCGACTCTGAGAATCCTAGAAAACGACTTTACAGGCTTTCTGTCTAACTAAGTTCCATCGTCTATCCCCATGCAAGGGATTCGTCTCATTTGCACGTGTGCGTGTGGCTGGGCGACACATGGTTCAAACGCAATCGCTAACTCGTCATACCGTCTCAAGAGAATACAGTCTGTTGAGGGCCATTACCCTTTATAGGTAATACAGAAGGGCTCTGAGGGATACTAAGTGAGACGGCGAAATCAATAACCACAATGTTCCCTGTAATTTTCATCTTTTGAGCTTTTCGGTACCACTTGGGAGTGGAAAGTTATGCATCCGATAACTTCATGCAAACTTTTATCAATTATGCTGTATCAATTGCAGTCAGTGGGACTGAACCGTCTACTATTGGCCTTCAACTGTACCTTGAGCAACAGGTATAAATTTTTTTCATTGTAATCCTGGTGTGTGCGTAAAGTGCGCTACCGCAAGTAATGAATCGATGCATTTGCAGTACTCTTCCAGGGTGTCAACGTTCCGAGACTCGACGCGTAGAGAATCAGTGGATGGCAAGGATAGAAATCAGACAAAACAGTGAAAGAATAGTACCAAACTCTTGACATGAATATTTCATGGCTTCATCGGATATCTCCACAAAGTTTTCCTTCGTAATCTGAAGTTCCAGGAAGCTGTTGGGAGTCTGACTGGAGTGCAGTTGGAGGCCGACTGGCAGACTGTTGAGGAACCCCCCAGCCTGAGGTGATAACTGACTTGTTCAGCGTTTTGATGACAAATACCAAAGAGCGATTGTTGCGAACATCCTCGGTTGTTGAATGGATTTCAGTACAACCGGAAGAAATGGCGAACGATGTTTTCGATAGAGTGGCCCTTTTGAGTAACGAAAGGGATTTATTTGAAAGTTCATGTGTAACAGGTGAGGAATGCTTCCGCGATGATTGTGACTGACACAACGAGAAAAAATAGGCTTGTTACCAGTATGGTTCCCCAGAAAATGGAAGGAAACGATAGAGCTTCATTGCTGTCGCAACTTGGAGACCCCGACAGTAAACACTTGTTGCAGCATGCTTTCTGAGTTTCGGACGAGTGTTCAATAATCCATGGGGAACCTTGTAGAGATTTACTGAGTAATTCGTGATTATTGTTGTAAAAACGGCTTGTTTTGTATATCTAAGCCACTTGGCGTGGAGTCCTCTGTTTGACTTCACCGGTTGCTAGCCGAGATAGCCATGGAGTGTTCGGGTAGATGACTTCCTATTCCTGAGAACTTCTGTCGTGTCACTATGGGATTGAGTGAGTTGGAGTGAGTATATTTCATGTTCTCACTGAATTTTGGTGCGACGAAAGTCGACATTTAGATACCTGAAAATAGGATCTTGAAGGGATGGCCTACCGAAAAGTGCGTGGACCAGATATGTCCTGCGTGCAGATGTCACGTAGAGCTGTTTCCCATTAATCTGGGATTCCTTAAACAAGTCAGATTCAACGTGTGCCAATTTCTTCATCTGAAACACAAAGTGTATTGTCCTCTCATTGAGGTAGAAGAAACTCCTCTCCTTCCGACGTAACGTTTTAATTCATGTTTTGATATCTTCAACAGAGGTACACTTTAAAACGATATCTCTGCTATGAAAAGGTCTTTCAACCGTACGGGTTCGAATTGTTCCTCTTCGATGAAGCCAGTTCCTAGCAGGACGCGATCTGATCCAAGGATGATTGTGGTTCATTAGGTCGCACTGGGACGTGCTCATTAGGTTTTAATTGATTGCGGAATTCTTAGAATTTCCATTCGCATCGCTGGTTTTTCTAAATCCCCCAGTGCTGGCTCACCCGTTCGATGATTACGATGACCATTCGGTGGCGGCGGGAGAACATACATGCAAGCGTCTCTCTTCCTGAATGTTTCTGTGGCGTGTGCCAAAAGTCCCGTCTAGCCGGTCTAGAACCGGCCCCGCTGAAACTGCGCTAGCAGAACCTAATCCGAGTCGTGTATCTGCAGTGTGCATGCCCCAATTTACCCTGACTGCGGTGGTGCTTGCCGGTCCTGTATCTCCCATATGTTCACTCCAGGGATCGCGGCACAGCACCTGCGGATTCTTGTTAAGACGCGCTTCGCGTGTGGCACGTGACTCTGTCACTGCGACTTGACACCAGTCGTCCTTGACCTGGTACCAGGACGTTGAAGGCCGTTTGGCAAGTTGTTCGGCACGCACATTTCATTGGCTCAGATGGCATGGACCGGCTGTATGCTCCCACTTATTTGACTTACATTTTTATCGATGTTCATTTGGTCGATTATTGGTCTCTCTGATCAGTCGAATGATCAAGTAAGCAACCACCTGTGAGCTAAACTTACGTTGTTGTATTTGAACGCACGGTAATTTGTAGTCTTCTTATCTCTGTTGTGAAGGGACTATCGTCCTTGGTAATTCCGTTGTATTTCTTACCAGTTACACGGTGCGCGATTGTCGATGAGAACACATCATACCGCCGTTTAAGTCCCATGTCCATGAACTGGTAAATAACACTCAGAAGCCAGATGTTGTTACTCGGGACATCATAGTCCAGTACGGTGAACTTTATTTGCTCAAGTGGGCAATATTGCAGTCTTCTTGGCAGATGGATAACATCTGAAAAGCTTTCCAAACATATTTTTGCAGTCATCATGATCATCACCGACAGCGTGACATCAGTGTTCAACACCGATGCTTCACTGCCGTATGAATGTCATGGTTGTACGAGGGCTAGGATACTGCCAGGGCGACCACACCTAGACAGGAGGACGATTAGGGTCCTCAATCAAAGCCTTTGGATCAAACGCTTAACCGCAAGGCAGCGGTGTTCGGCTGGAAATGCAAGTACATTACCATTTTTTACGGAACACGTCGCCATACATGTTCCAACCCCCAACCTGGAGGGCCAGGAGACTGTTCGTCAGACCTCTAACCATTGACCAACCTGGTATGTGAGACCCTGTGAGTGTCGCGCGGACACTCTCCAGTGTAGCTCAATGGATCACTGAGGTGCGCAAACCGTCACACCACGGTAAGGTTCAGTCTCTTCGTGACACTGTGGAAACGGGTGTTTTCGTACCGCCCACCTCATGATTTGTCCTAGTGCACTGATTACTACGGTTCATGCCTAGCTCGGCGCAAGCAGAAATACCTGCCGAAAACGATAGCTGATAATTGTGCATCTCGGTTTTGAAGCATGTGAGCAGTCCTTATTGTGAACCAAAATTATCCGCGGTCGCGCCTGAGGATTCAAAAGGTGCGGAAGTTACTCACTCGTCTTCTTAGCAAAGCGGTAATCAGGAATGGAAGCTTCTCAGGGACATTAGCAGGATTGCATGATTATATCGTCAATGCGATGCCCAGTGTCGTCTTCACCTATTGAACCACCTGCATAAGTGAGCACATGGATCTACCAAGCATGTCATGGATGCTACTAAAACATGAGCACTTGGTGTACATGTATATCGGACCCTCTGAAGCTGCCGTTTTGATTTTTGGTTCACCTGATTAAACTAGCCGCGATTCACTTTAAATGCACCTTCCTCAACAGTAATCCTTCGTGACTGAGGAAGAAGGGAACAACTAAACAGAATAGCTGAGGAGCATCCTGACATTCTCGGAGCAAACATTTTAGGTCGAGTTTTTACAGCCTTTACACCTTTATTACTTACGTCCCATAAAGGGACTGGAGTATTTTGCTTTAATAATCGGAAAATAACCATAGTCCAACGCTTAAAACTGTCTTCCCGGAGCGGCACTTGTTGGAGTCTAATCAAGGCCCCCAGAAGGAACATGCAGATCGAAAGTAGTGGCGACGAACGACTATTCAGAACATGTATAAGATGGTTACAAGAGTGCACTGTCTGTTCATTATCTTCATGTAGAGTGGAGAACCCTTTGTGATTTAGCACTTACGTACAAAAAAAGCATTACATGGTGAATCTCGTATCTGTAAAATCAACTTGAAAACGTAATGAAATGCTGAAGATGCTAATTCACTGACAACATAGTTGTTTAAACTGCTAAAAAAGGGGGCGAACGGTGAACTATGTACTGGGTAGGACATTTCGTTTGTGTAATGATCAGGTGGAGAGATCTCTGTCGGAAGTTCCCAGCCGTGAAGATGTGACGTGAATACAGTACGGAATATGGGCAAGAGAAGTTTCCACTTACATACTTGTTTCGCCTAGCTGATGTTTGGTTGAATGAGGCAAACGATGTGCATTTTGGATTGAATATGAATGTGTGATTTTTCAGGATAATTTGTTCCTATCTATCCGATGCTCCTCCTTGGATTGTTTTCAAAGCAGTTACTTTTGTCTACTCGAAACAAAGCGATCAAGAAACAGGATTTGACCGAAATCTGTCGCCTTACTTGGTCCATGAAAGGGCATATTTTCAACACCCTAACTGGGAGACTAAATGCCAGTCATTTTCGAATGGCATTTATGAATTCGGCTATGGGGCTCGCCACTGCAAGAGTTAAAAATGTAAACATACTGTCCCGTCATTTTATTCTAAGACACTAAATTTTTGCAATGGATAATTTTATTACAGCCCAGGTAAGATCAAGTACGCTGATATCCCTGTTCAACGAAACCAGTTTTAAGCACAAGATGGGCTTCCTCCGAAAGAACTTTGCTTCACTGGGGTTCTGTTTCAGTGTAATCACAGTATTTCGTCCAAACAGTCAGCCATTCGTTTTCTATACAAACCCAAAGTCTTGTTTCAACCGATCACGATACTAAAATAATATAGAAGGGATCAAATTCATGGCAGTTAAGTCAGCAATGCGTTGACACTATCGTGCTCTTGTGCTCTGCTTACTCCAGTCCCATCTTCCTTGTTTGATTTTAGAATGTCAGCCCTGTTTGAATAACGGCGAGTATCATTCAGGAAGCTAACGAATCCAGAGGGAAAGCACAGACAACCACTAGCTATTCAGCTCAGTGTGACGGCACCCATCCCTGTTTTATTTTCATTATTCTTGTCTAAGCTTAGTCCACCTGGCAGTGTTTTTCACTCCTTTGTTCTCGGCGGTGATGCTTAGGCAAATAACCTCCCCGCTTTACTTTGTCAGTCACGCTTCTGTGTTGTCAGAGCAGCCGGTTTGAACATGAGCATTCGTATAACTGGCAGTAGATAAAGCACGTTGTTTTTTCAAGTTTGTGCTTTGGAAATTGGACGAGATATTTCAGAACTATTGGACCTATTGATTTTATGGTGGATGAACTAAAAGTGTCAAAATGAATAGACCCAGTCCCCCAACTCTGCATCTAGTAAAGGAAGCTTTTGAAGTATCTTCAAGGCAATGACTTCAATCACATCGCATACTGGAGAAAGTGTGTATTTCATAGTCTGATCGAAGAAAAACACCACTGGCCGAACACCACATACACTGGTTCGTAACCGGATAAAATATTTTTGTGAAAGTAAGTGGTGGGTAACATTCATCTTCTTAGTTCTCAAAACTTTTCCCATACATTCGTTACAGATCATCGTGGGCTCTTCAATTCGGGTCAGGTAATTGGTATCCATAAATCTTGCAAATATGACGACAGCTTTGTAACGAGGGTTGCTTGCAATTCACTTTGACGAATCTCCTGGGGTTAGGGACTGAGCTAAAGCGCTGACTTTGTCCTCTTGCTCTACGGCAATCCATTTGTTGGCTATTTCGGTCGATATTTACATGCTTAGAACAAGTGAATAAGCCCACAACTAAGCTGTTCTGGAAGAAATTTCTCGCCAGCCATTGTCTCCTCCACGCACTGGAACAATGTGTAAAGTGTTCCATGAATATAAGGAGCAAAAGTATGTTGTGAGAAAACTGACAGTAAACCATGGTCTCATGTGCTTCCAATCCAAGCAAAGCAGCAACATGCATCTTTCTTTGATCAGTCGATATCGTGCCATTCGGTTCTTCGTTCTCCGTATGGTGACCTTTGCAAGCTGAGTGGACGAAGATACACACCTAAGGGCTCTCTACAGCGCTTTTCTGCGAGTAAGCCTTTACGGGTGTAGGGTACAGGAAGCATTCACTGATTACCAACCTCTGTGGTACCAACCGCATTTTGAGTTCCTGATATGGGATAGATCATCGTGGTACGAACGCGCAACCTTCTAGATGGGACTTGAACCCCATCACCCTTTTGCTCTTTGTAACCGGTTCGTCATTTAAGTCCGCTCAGTATACGGTGTCATCTATTCGAAACAGCATGTACACAATTCAAGATATCCGCTGCCGACTGGTTACGTTAGCTTTATAAAAATATCACTTGTAAGTTGTGTTGCTTACAATCTTGCTAGTGAGCACGGCATGTATCTGAGGTTAGTCGATCCAAAACACCAAAGAAAAGTGTGGGTCTCCCCAGATAGGGTCCACTGTACATAACAAACACTTTTGTTTAATTTAAGATCAAGAACACTATGGTTGGTCAAATGGTTACACACGTACCACCACCTTTAATTTCCAGCCGATCAACTCAGCGAAATCCCTCATGAGAGACAAATGGACTGTCGAACCTCATGTTGAGTGATTCCTAGAGGAACATCGTTTATCACTGTTCTGAACTCTTCAAGGCATTCATCATCCTTGTAAAGATTCTCCACTTTAAGGTTTTGACTGGATCAATCCCGATGGTAATAACATTAGGTTTTTGTATGGATATACGTCGTTTGAAGTTGCGCAGCCAAGTCTTCATTGATTTACGCAGCCAAAGATATTTTTTATTCGTTTAAGCTTCTCCTTCACACAGCTCCAAATATCGCTCACAAACGCTTTCTTACTTCAGCACACACTGAGTAATGTCCGACGCATCAAACTGGATCAAGCAGATTGAGCAGCAGAGAATGAATGCAGCCACTTCAGTGAAAACTTTCACATTTTCAAAAGCCAGAGTGAGGCAGCTGAAAGGCCCAGACGAGTTTCCTGCTGAAGCGAATTCCGGAGGCGTACTGTATTGGATGATCCGTGACCAGCGCGTTCAAGGTCAGATTCTTCCCATATTGCAATTTGTTACCAACCCCTCGTCCTTGAGCGGAAGCGCTATTGTCAAACATGTTCTTTTTTAAGGTCCTTCCTTGTCTTGCTGGTGATTGCACTTTTTATGCATTGTGTTTTAGTATTCCCCACCAGTGTCTAAACTTACACACGTAATCACGACGGGAACATTTTGGTGAATACTGGAGATTTTAGCTTGCTAGTGTTCTCTCCATATTTCACTTGTGGTTGACATTCCACAGTCTCAATCGAAAATCGCCTTCGTGCGAATTTTTTATTCTCAAGGCGTTTCGGACAGTTTTCACTGGTGCTCCAGATGCTATTCCTATTAATGGCACTGGAATGGTTTTCATTTTAATGCGTACGGTATTAGCGCATGCGCCTCCTGCGTTAGCCTCACTTATATCTTCATTTCGTTCTTTTTCCCAATATTTACACTTGGTTAAACGGGTCCTTCAAGTTATATGCCAAGGCATAGTAGACAAACCTGAATTTCTGTTATGCACTACTCATAAGGTTGCTGAAAACTCCTCAACAGCCCACGACCGGTTTTGCCCTTCCTGTGGCTCATCAGGTAGGCGCACTCCCCAAGTTTCCGTCAACCTTATGTTCTACGTGAAACCAAATTGCACGAAATTAGCGAAATACACTCATTTGCAAATCAATTTTTTTTCACGAGAGACCCATCTGGAACCCAGCCGAATCCCTCGTTTGTGATATGTCCAGGCAACCGAATGTGAATCTACCTGATGAGTCCCAAGAAAGGGCGAAACCGGTCGTGGGCTGTCGAGGAGTTTTCAGCAACCTTATGAGTAGTGTATTACAAAAATAGATACGTATCGCGATATCTCGAATTTCGTAGCGACTGAAACATGAGACGGCCTGGTGCAGCACATTCAGTTGCCTGGAAATATCAAAACCGAGAGATTCAGCTGGGTTCCAGGTGATTCTTTTGAGAAAAAACAAATTAGTTTGTGTTGCGTGTATCTGGGCGCACAACTTCAGTTAAACAATCGGACTAAGAAACACTCGAGTTATGATCTTTGAAATGTGTTACGTCCCATTTTAGTCACGGCTTTCAATCACTAAAAAATCCACCACATCAAGACTTTCATAATGGTGTCTTTCGACTGTTCTTCACATTTCTTGCAGATAACTGGGCTTTCCTCTACGCTCAGCGACTGGCCCTGAAGTTTCAAGTTCCGCTTCATGTTTGTTTTTGCTTGGTGCCTTGTTATCAGGCCGACACGCTACGACACTTTTCCTTCATGGTCGGTGGTTTGACTGAAGTAGAGCAAGTAAGATTCCGTTGTACTATTTGTTCGTTTCAAGTCTACTAATTGCCAAGAGTAATGCTTTGTCAAGAAAATGTACCACCATATCTCGAATATAGTAAACATGAGGAATCCTTTGTGCATTTAGACGGTATCATAAGGACGAGAGATTCAGCTTTGATTCAGTTGAGTCTGCCATCAAGACACAATTAGTTTGTGGCTACGTGTAGTTCGTGATTCAGTCTTGATTTACCGATAGAATCCGGGATGACCATCTTCCTATCTGTCGTGCTGTCATTTGTCAGTTCATGCGGATTGTTCCTCCCTCTTAGAGTTCCCTGTGCAGTTGGATTGACAACTCTGATGGGACTGGAAACTTTGGGACTTAACCTGTGTTTGATTGGCCACTTGAGTTAGGACTGAAAAAACTCAGGAATGTCGTACTAGAAAACCTTTTGGGCGGAACGACAGGAAGCACACAAAAATTAATACTACTCTGTCAGTTGTCTGAAGACTTGTGGTACCTGTCATCTCCCAATGCAAAGAATTAAGCTCCACTTGGAGGCAGTACGGAAATGTGTTGGAGAGTGAAGATCGGATGCGTCAACTGTTCTAATGATCCAGGTCACTGTAAAGCTTTTAAAAAGTGCTCTGTTTCCATTAGACCTCACTTTTCATGTTCCCCGTTCCGTTCGCTATCGGTCAGAGGTGAACATTACATTCAAGTCAAACTGAGTAACATGTTCATCATCGATAGCATGACATCGGTGTTCAACACCGATGCTACGCTGCCGTAACACCTGCTAACCTGCCTAACACTCACATCAACCTTTTACTGAGCAGCTGTCCTTCTCCGATTTGGTAGATTTTGGTGTCGTTTCCAACCTAGCAATGACCAACTACTTGGTACTTTCTGGGGTATTTTCGAACCTATTTTTCCAAGAATACAAGTCCGGCGTTACAGGAAGACCTTCACCAGTACCACGAAGTTCTCTCGTGTCTGGATCTCTGAAGAATACAGCTGCACTTGAACGGTGTGCCCGCTGGCTGGTATTCCGCCGAGACCAGTTGTTGGTTGAGTGCCGAGTAGCCGTTACTGTTGGCCGCTTCAGCGACTGTGACTTTCCCAATGATGTAATGCGCATCGAGCGTAGGCTGAAGGCGGCTAACTTGTATTACCTGCCAGCGCAAAAATTCTCTTCTCTGCTTAGCTGTACATGTCATCAGAAAATATACCTTGGGTGCCTGCTATCTGTTTATCTTATCATTATTAGGCTTTCATATGAGGAAGACCTTTCTTATCTCGTAATTTTTTTCTCCTGAAGGAATGTCGCTCGCTGAATATTCATTTTCATTTGCTCAACATTGCTGATGGTTTATCACCCAGTACACGGTCTGAAGGGGCTAAACATCGCTGGGCTGACGAGGACTCACAATTGCTACAACCACCCGATCTCTATGGTTCCCAAGTGGCCGAACAATTGAAATCTCTCGTACAAACTCTGAACATCGGCTGCATCGTGACCGACTTTTCCCCGCTGCGTGCACCAACCATGTGGATAGAGCACGTTCGTACTCAGTTGCCTCCACAACTTCCATTTTGTCAGGTAGGTTAGTTCTTAATGACCATAGACCGTTCGACGTCGAGTGCGGGCATCGGACCATGTTCGGTGCCATCCCGCTTAATGCGAGTCCGATACTCATATTCCTGTCTTACTGGGTTTCAAGGAGACGAAGCGGAACTGACGCGTAGTTAAACTGCGATATCTTGAATATCGTAGCAACTGAAACATGAAGCGGTCTTTGTGCAGCAACTTCAGCTAAAGAACATCATAAACGAGAGATTCACTTGAATCTCCCGCGAAAACCAAGTTGTTCAAATAAGTTGCTTATACCTTGCAAGATTCTGGGTGCTGACTGAGAGAACTAGGTTTCCGTGGATTTGTACAACTTGTATTCACATCACATTCGTTTGAACGGTCTTCTTTCCTTCAAGGATCGGCTATTCTGGTTAGTCATGAGAAGGACGAAAGTAGCGGACAAACCTTGTTTTCCGTGATTGTTCCTTCTGGCTGGTCATCGTGTATTTATATGATACCAAAAATCACGAAAATTATTCGTGGAAATCAGGGGTAGGTGTGCTATGTGACGATAAAATGGCTGATTTCGGCCAGATACGATGAAATGCCCCCTGAGCCTGGTTTCTCCTAACCACCAATCAGGAACACTGAATTGTGTTTCCGCATTTTGCCCTGCAAACGCCTTGTCATACGACCAACGCATGATTCTCAGAGCGAGCATACAGATGATTACACACCTACATTGCCGCTAATCTGTGCTTTAGCTTCAGTACCAGCCACACTATCAGGTTATATTGTCACGTTCTACCGTGTAGTTTGGAGGCTACCCATCTAGATTCGAGTGCGCTGAGAGTTCTTTCTCTTCTTCTCGTGTATACATACAGGTGGACGCTCACAACATCGTCCCTGTTTGGTGCGGGTCCGACAAGTGCGAGTTTAGCGCACGTACTATTCGGCCCAAACTGTACGAAAAGACAGGTCAATTTCTCACTGAGTTTCCTCCACTAATCAAGCACCCTTTCTCTTGCTCTGCTCCAACGTGTCGTAAGGTGAGCTACGTTTTGTCCAAATCGTTCTCAAATTAGTCTTTGAGGTGGCGTTATGCGATTAAACGTCCCCCAGGCTTATTTTCGTCACTGATGTCACTGTTGCTCTCCTTAACAGAGTGTGAATTGGAACAAGATAAGGGAAAACTACTGGGGAGATTGTACAGTCCAACCGGTCGATTGGGCCAAGCCTGGTTCCGCTGCCGCCTTCCAGGTACTCCGCTCCTTCATCGATGAACGTCTACGCGACTTCGATGCCCATCGCAACGATCCAGCTAACCCCGCTCTTAGTGATCTTTCGCCTTGGTTTCATTTTGGTAAGACTCTTGAAGCAGTCGCACTATATTAAAAATCTCGCTTTCTCCATCGTTAGGTCAAATGGCTCCCCAGCGAGCAGTCTTGGAAGTTGCGGCTCTACAATACAAGTATGGACGGTCTGTGGATGTTTTTATCGAGGAAGCTTTTAATCGACGAGAATTAGCCGACAACTTTTGTTTCCATACACCGTTATACGACCGCTTGCAGGGTGAGTGCATTCATTTAATTGTAGGCTACCTACTCTTGTATGTGGATTTCAGGGCTATTATATCCAATCGCTTTAAATATTTCCCTCTCAATGAACCCTGGAGAGTTTAAGCACTTACTTTTTTCCTAGGTAACGCATAGGTTCACGCTGCAAACACATGGGAAACTCGGTCACGGTGATATTAAGTCTCTTTCCGTTCAAATATCGTGTGGACCTTGCAGCTGGCCACTATTCATCAGCAACAGCAGAACAGACATCTGTTAAAGGTTGACATCAATGCGAGGCCTCCTTACCAGTCTCCGATCCACTAGGATACACCATTTTCGTAGCTCGTCACTATATGCGCTCAGAAACCCCCCCCCC